TCATGATCCTAAAATGAAGCGACACATTTGTTTATGTGAATTTAGAACACTTTCCTTTTCATCTTCAGTGCATTAATATTCTGGTACATATCAATCTAGTTTGAATCTTCCTGTTTGTAAATCCTTATTTTGATGTACGAAAATTTTTCCAAATAATGAAAATGTGTTAGTCCCCACTCTAGTAACTCTATTGAAAATGTAACCCCATGAAAATGCCACCCAAACCAGCAGCACATCCCCTTGCCTTTATTACAAGTAGCAACTTTTTTGAAAAAAAAAGTACATGTAGCTGGGTGTCACTTAGACTTGGGTACAACTACTTAAAAGTACACAATGATCAGACTATTTGGTGATGACCTTCAATATACATGTAAGCCTTGACCTTTTTGCTTTATTAATCAATTCTGTACTCACATCAGCAAACCAGGATATCCATTGCAGTTTTGAAGTCCAGATTTGACCCTTTGCTTGACAAAGGCAAGTATAAAAATAATGACAAGCTTAAAAATAATAACAATACATGAAATAATAATTATCGATTGTGCAAGCATGAAATTACAAGTGAAGTTTTAGCAAAACATCATCACCTGTCTAAGTTTCTGACATGAAACAGGGGGGAGGGGGGCACTTATTCCAAAGGGGGTGCTTATTAGAAGAAGGGTGCTAAATCAAATTATTACTACATGTAAACGATTTTGTCATCATTGTCTGATGAAAGTTACTTCTGTATTTCACTTACAGCTGGAAGAAGACAGCCACAATCAAACAGACTCTCCTTGATAATGATGGGGCACCTAAATTGATAATTTTGAGAATGAAAATCTCTCAACATGTCTCAAAAAATGAAATCACAGAGACATCTTTCGCTTAAAATAAATTTGTTACATTTTTAGGTTTCAATAACAAAAGACAGGTGTTACAGAACATTGAAAATTCACACTGGAATGGAAAATTACAAAGCTAATAGATGACAGTGCAGGCAAATGCAGGAACAAGCTTCCTAGCACAGACACCAAATTCAAGTGTGAAGTGAGAAAGACAACTGCTCTTCCTTTCCAGAACAATAATAATAACAAATTGAAAATTATAAAAAAAAAAAAATCCACATACAATTTCAAAGGAAATAACTGAACGAGGCCTACTGTAATTTAAGACACAGAACAGAACGAAAATGATGATCTGTAATTTTAGAAAGAGAGATTTTCAATTTGCAAAACAAGAATCCGTGTGGAACTCCACTGTACGGAAGAATGAGAGGGTCTATAAGAAACCTCTAAGCCGTCAAAAAAATTATCCACAACCGCAAAACCGCAAAAAGATTCGATCAAAACCGAAAACCTCATGCAAAACCGTCAAAATCTTTGAGTGTTCACATCTCAGTTTTCAAAACCCTGATCGATCTGATACAGTGTTGACAAGTGGAGCATACAGCGGTTTCGCGGCAACTCGAGATCAGTGGAGGCGCATAATGGCCGATTAAATCGAAGAGAAACCGGAATCCAGATAGGAAAATCCGAAAACCATATTGGAAACCAAATCCGAAGCCCACAAGACAAGTATTTATGACGAAAACCGAAAACTATATGCTAAAGGACGGAAAATCCATAATGAATACCCAATCCGAAAAACCAAAATTCTTTGGCACAAAAACCGATCTTAAAAAAAAAATATCGAAAATCCCAATGCCCCCCTTGCGGATGAATCGGTCAGTTCAGTCCATAAATCACACAAATGATAACACAACAACCATTATTATTATTGAAACCTCAACGAAAACTTTTTTATCATTATAATCAGAAACATGCTGCAAAACAACTTTAGTCACGCGATATTTTTTAAAGAAGGTGTCATGTCACGCAATCGAATTATTCATCGACTACGAGCTCACAAATACAGAAGAGGATTTGATCTCTGCGCGAACATAGTGAAGATTCAGCAAAGAACACCACGGAGATGTTCATATTTTCAGTTCGTTTCGTCTCGTTTATCAAATCGCAGTAAGCCCTATAAAATTCCGGAGATATGGTCGAGTCCAGTTTTACAATAGAGACTAAATGCATTGTATGACACCAGATCTTTGAAAGACAGACGCAAAGAACAGTGTTACAAACGTTAACTCTTAGACTCAGTTGTATCCAACTCTGCGCATAAACACTATCATCTGCTACCACTCAAGCAAACACAATTTAGAAACCAGTGTAATTTTAAGTTTGGGAAAATGTGCACCACCACATTCATTCCATTCAAGTCCAATCTCTAGAACTTTTATACGTAGTTTTTTTTTATTCTATAGAGTCATTTTATATTACGTGAAATTGTTTTTGAATAACAGCGTATAAAACTTCAAATAACATTTTGCAAATTTCATGCTGCGAATTTGAATATTTTTCAATAAACAAACGATATACCTCGAGGAGACGACAGCGCAACGAAAGAACCCAAATCGCAGAACGAGTGGGCGCGAATCTAGGGCGCATTCATTCATGGAAATATCGACATCTACAACAAAGTACGTACCCCTGAGAAGTGTTCTCCGTGGATCTATTTGCCATTTTCCAAAGCAATCTATTGGGGCAACCGCACGTGGTTCAACCTCCCTCGTCTGACGGCTCCTTTCGTGTGGTTCCGCGAATTTGAATTAGATTATGGTTATCTTGTTACTCCTTATCTTTCTCAGAAAATTAGCGGAAGAGACTTAGTAGGAGTCTGGAAGCTAGCTAGGTTGATGACCGCTGACTGAAGTTCAAGAGATTTTCAAAGATGGCCCGCAATGTAGGAGGGTGATGTGAACGCATCACTTTACTAATAGTTTGTTAGTCGTTTTGGTTCTCAGCGGCAGAATTTCGCCAAAATTGGTATGTATTGCCATACATGGTAAAATTTCATCTGTCATGAATCTTTTATTTAGCACATGGTAGGTAATTTTACAACAAGTTTTAACCAAGAGTTTCATTCCACTACATATAATTATCTAATCCAAGCTATCTTTCTGGGCTGGAATGTGGGAAATGGTATGGTGCTGTGTGTTAACTAATTTTGTAGGTGTAATTTTCAATAGTTTGTCTGAGTATGTCAGGGTAGCTGAGTGAGGCTGATAAGTTACAGTGTTTTGCCTCTTTTATCTTAAACAAGGTCATTAAATGAAGCAATTTTGTCTCATTTCTTAACTCCCAAGATCTGTTTGCTAATTCTCCCCACTTGTTTCTAGACGTTTCCTTGTGCATTTGTTATAGGAATTTTTTGTTAGGTCAAGATAACTTTTTTCATTACCTTTTTGTTGAATATTGTTAAGATATTTTAGGAAGAAGTTACATCATGTTAATTACATCTGGGAGTTTAAGTGTTAAACAGCATGATGTGATACACTGCTACCTAAATTTCCCTTAAGTTCGAAATATCCAGGACTTAAGCATTCCCTAAAAATTTGTTCAAACTGCAGCTTTCACTTCTGCAAATTTTGACAAGTACTAGTTAATCTTTAATTTAATAAGACTGAAGGGAAAATGAAATTTTTGATTAACTTGAAAAGTGATTGATAAAGAAACATTGAAACTTCACCTTACTCAAACTTTTTTTTCCACAAGCCTGGTGTAACCAATGTGCCAGCAATAAATTTTAGATAAGTTTAATTTCCTGATGACTGGACTGAACTCCTCTATTTACATGCCATTGCTAGTAGTTTCTAAGTAAAGTATTACAAACATAATACATCAAGAACAGAATGACTAATTATGAGATGGGAAATAACACAGGAAATACAAGTAACATGAAATATGTATAACATAGACAATACTAATAATATATGAAACATGGGTCACTAGATGAAAGAACAATTACCTGATGATTTTGTAATATGGCTGGCATAACAGTGTACTTGCAATTACCTTTTAACTCAAGCTCACACCTTTTTTATTTGCATGATCCGCGTAAAAGTCAAACTTATATGGAGAGTTGCGTGGACTGGGGCTTAAGGAGGGGATTGGTATCTACACCTGGTGTCTTCTCTTGATTTTCTGAGCTGGAAGATAATGTCTTGTAAGGAAGCTGTGCTCCAAGGAACAACACCCCCCCTTGATCTTATCCAGTTTTATTGTTAGGTCCAAAGAAGCAAATTTATCTTGCATCTGTGTGAATAAAAATATGTCATTGTTACTTTGCTGGTCAGAGTTTATCAAGCAGTGAAGATGATGACATTGCCTGAAAACAAAAACCAAAAGTAAATCAGAAGAAGAAGAAGAAAGGAAAAAACATTATTTACTCAGGTTATGTTTTAGGGTGAACACCAACAGATTAGAAAGGAACAGATGTTGAGACTCTACACAAACTCTTATACCTCTGTATAAGTTTTAATGGTTTCAATGTACATGTAAGCTAGGTAGTTGTGCTATACAGTTTTCTTGTCACTTCCCACTGCAATTTGCATTATTACGGAAACAGGGTGTAAAAAGATTCACATAATTATACGTACAACATCACAATGATGTCCTGACCCTATTTCTAAATTAATCTTACATCTCTGTTAGATTCTGATGAAGATCCTCTTCCTCCAAAAATCAGGTATGTGATTTGTTTCTTGAATTTTGTTCCCTTTCATACAGTTGTAGTTAATCCTTTAACTCTCAGAAGTGATTAACATGAAACCTCTCCCTATAATATCTACACATTATTCAGCAAACAGGTAATGAAAATATTTAAACTTATCAGGTAGAAGCCACTATCTTGATCTAGCACCAAGCTCTCATAACTAGTTTAGAAGGAAATGTGTAGCAGCTACAGGGGAGAAATAACAATCAGATCTTAGGAGGGTTAAACCGTTGGACCCTAGGAACAGCCCTGAATCAAGAATCAGGGAAATGGTCACCAATTATACAAGCTCTTGATTATTAAACAAATTCTCCTTGTCAGCACCTTAGAAAATGCATAGAGAACAGTATGGAGAATATGGATACTGATGTCAGGTTGTATTCACAACCTGGTTCTCTTTCATTCATGTCTCTTTTAGAAAAGCCACATCAGTAAAGAAGGAGGAGAGTTCAAAAGCTAAGAAAAGTAGAAGACCAATCAGCTTAGACTCAGGTAAGAAAATGATGTCTTATTATTGAGGGTACCCCATACCTTTTATGTGAAGGGTGATTGGGAGATTTTGTTTTCACAGGAATCATGATTTCAATTTTTTTTTCATGAATTTTGATTAAAGATGACATAATCCTTCCATTTCCATCTGAACAATTTTTTCTTTATTTAAACACAACCCATGAATGAAGAATTAAATGACTTCAATGTGATAAACAAACCATTTTGTTTCCCTGATGAATTTCAGCATATTTCCAAGAGCAAACTCATAGGATCAACAGCTTCATAAACAGGTGAGAAAGAGTGAAATTTTTAATTTGTGAATTTGGCTAATTAATTCTCTTTTTTTTAATTTCATGTGAATGTCAAAGAATTTTGGATATTTTTCATGATGCATGAAAAGGCAATATATTTTTATGTGACTGAGTTCTACAAAAGGGTTCAGAGGACTCTCCTTATTGATGGAGTGAGTGGTGGAGTTTCAAAGTCCAAGATCTGATTGTTAATTCTCTCCTCTAGCTGCTAAATGTTTTTGTGTAAATTAACAATGAGAATTTGTTGTTAAACCATTATTTTAGGGTTTCGTAATGGTTTATTTTCAGGCTTCCTTTCTACCAATTCCCTCGCATTCAAGAACCAATCATTGAAGCACCTAGCATGACCATATTGGGAAGTGTCAATCACACAATTGTAACAACTACATGTATGTTGAGACTCTACACAAACTGTTATACCTCTGTTTTTGTTTTAATGGTGTACTGTGCTGTACAGTGTCCTTGTCAATTCCAAATGCAATTTACATTATTACAAAAACAAGATGTAAAAAGATTCACATAATGATAATTATGTACAACATCACAATGATGCTCTGACCCTATTTCTAAATTAGTCCTGCATCTCTGTTAGATTCTGATGAAAATCCTCTTGCTCCAACAATCAGGTATGTGATTTGTGTTTTCAATTTCATTCCATTTCATACAGTTGTAATTAACCTCTTTGACCCTAATATCACCCCTGAATCAAGAGTCAAGGAAATGATCACCAACTATAAAAGTTCTTGATTATTAAACAAATTCTCCTTGTCAGCACCTTAGAAAATGCATAGAGAACAGTATGGAGAATATGGATACTGATGTCAGGTTGTATTCAGTATCTGGTTCTCTTTCATGCACTTTCAGAAAAGCCACATCAGTAAAGAAAGAGTTCAAAAGCTAAGAAAAATAGGAGACCAATCAGCTTGGACTCAGGTAAGGAAATTATAAGTCTACTTATTTAGGGTACCCTATACTTTTTACATGAAAGGTGATATAGATACTTATCTTCATGGGAATTGTGATTCATCTTTTTTTACAAGTATATAATTATATATTTTTAATTTTTATAGGATTAACAGTTTTATTTACAGGTTAGAAAGAGTGAAAATATGAATTTAGTTTAATTTTTTTTCTTTGGTTTTATTTATCTTCAAAACATGATCATCTTGAATTTCATGTGAATGTGAAAACATTTTGGATACTTTTCATGATGAATCAGAAGGCCAAATATTTTTATGTGACTGAGTTCTACGCAAGGGTTTCAGTACACTCTGCTTATTGATTGAGTGGGAGGGCTGGATAGGGAAATATTTAGTGTGAGGTGAGCTTGAGGTATAATAAGATGATGTCAGTTTTTTTTAACATTGTGTGACCTTTAACATTGCTTATGCATTAGCTTGCTAAAGAAAACAAAGCCATCTGCTTCATTCAGGGTTCAGCATACTTACCATTAGACCATTCTGTCTCAAATAGAATTTGAATATTATAGCACTTGAGTTATATTTTGATGTGGTTTCTACAGATGAGGAAGAAGTTGTGCCCAGGAAATTAAAAAAGTCTGCCAAACAGACAGACATTGTAACTTCTAAAGAGGTCCAGCATGTTAAAGAGAGGTATCTTTCATCATTCTCTTTCATTATATTTGACATTTCAGTACCAAACCATAGTGTTCATTTAGATCATAAGATATTGCTCAGGAGAAGCATCCGGCTTATAAAAATATCGAGCTTAATTTTGTTTCTCTGTTTGTTTGTTTGTTTGTTTTTTCCTTTCTTCCATCAAGCATTGCGAATGTTAGATCTGTCATAGGACACTGCTCTTATGCTAATACATTTAACCCTTTGAGTGCGAAGAATTACCAGCATCTAACTTCTCTTTACAATATCCCTCCTGAATCAAACATTAATGTGTATCAATCACTTTTTGTGTTGAAAGTAAGTTATTTAGATGGTCTTCTTTCACTGGAGCTTCTTAAGGGAAAGATGATTCATTAAAACTTACTGTGAATTGTGTTTGCTTTTCTGGTTTCTCCAAAATTTTAACTTTTGGATAGGCACATGTTACACACAGGTGTCAAGGTTAAGGGCACAAGAATAAAGGAAATGATCACCAACTAAACTCTTGTTTGTTAAATAAATTCTCCTTGTCAGTACCCTCAGAAACACATAGAGAACAGTTTAGAGAATGTGCATACTGATATTAATGTGTTTAGAGTTGAAAACGAAAAACAAACAAACCAAAAAACCAACAGCAAAATAATAAAGACAGTGTCATCAAAGGTGAATTTAATACAATGTTGTTGCGTTACTGAAATATTTAACACATGGATTGTTATTCTTGTTTCAGTCCAGTCAAACCTAAAGAGAAAAAAGCAACTTCTGCTCTTGATTTCTTTGGTTCTACTCCAGTTGAAAGGGAATCCAGGAAAACATTTGCTAATAAAAGAAAACAGGTGAATAACTAACTACATTTTTTCCACCCACAATTTTTTTTGTAAAGAAAAATTCAGGCATCCAGTGTATTTTTAACAGTATTTCATGCATCATGCATTGAATAGGGAAAGCTTCAAACCTCACCATACCTTGCCTTTCTATAAAATTCATGCATCACATGTTAATTTTTGGGCATAATCACACATCCCTTGTAAAAACCCTCTGCCAATCTGTTATAGTTATATCAGGATGGTCTACAGTGAACACATACCATGTCACAAAATCAATGGGTACCAGTAGTGACCAATTGAGGAATAGTTCTGGCAGAAACAACACCACGGGCTGCCTTAAAGGAACGAGTCGTTTCACCTCCAAGATATTAAAATTAATTCTCTTCACTATCTGTCACACAAGTGTCATGAAAATATCTTTGAGAATATGGTGTTCAATCAAGTGATATCCTCTTGTCTGATGATTTTCTTTCTTCTCATCACATTGCTGCTCAGTTGACTGTGAATTGGTATTATTACGAGAAATTAGAAAATTGATCACTCTTAAGAGTGCAAATTTTAAGCTTGATCCAGAGCTTTAAGCCTACAAAATGATCATCCCTTAATTCCCTGTTGAACCATCAATCATTTTTTTTGTTTTCATTTCCCACAGAGATCTGACCCAAAGTGAATAGAAAAGGAGAGTATAAAAATGGGAGAGAAAAAGAAGGAAGAGAAAATGGGAATGTTAACCATCACACAACAGAGCAACCATCAAAGAAAAGAAAGGAAAACTTTTCAGAATCAAAGTATGAGGTTAAAAAGCCTTCCCCTGAGAAGAAAAAGGTTTGTAAGCCTTTTGATTACCATACTTTATTGTTGCAAAATTAATCATTACTATTAATACTTAATTGAACAAGCTACCCTGATACTAGAATGGATTGGATCTGATATGATTGCATGTGTAAGGTATGTGTCATTAATTAAGCACTTGAATAGGTTACTTTTAGATGAAACAGTAACATTTTATGACTAAATTTGGCTTTGTTTGATATCCAAAAGCTTATTCAAATTTGTTAACTGGTGTTACATTTTGTATATGTAAACCTGTCCTACTATGACACATTGCTAACAATACTTGCAACAAAACATTACTTACAATACTAACACTACTCAAAATACTACCATTACTGTACCTTGAATTTATACAAAAACAGTAACAATAGTGACAAAACTTTTAGGTACATTTTTGGTGATTTTAACTTTGACAATCCAGGAGGATGTTACTGCCTTGTCTCCATTTTTCAAAGCAGCAGTGTCTTTTACCATCAACATTCCTATTTGGAACAACTCTTGCCTTGTGAGGACAACTCTTTGCTGTTAGAATATTTGATATACATGTAACTTTTATTCACTTCAAATTGTATCCATGGACTTTTCAGTAAGTACCAAAGACAACTCCTGCTTGCAAACTGGCTGCAAAAGCTGCCACAGTTCCAGAAACTCCAGTTAGAGACTCAAAACCAAGTCCAAAGAAAACTGTTACTCTGAAAAAGGAAAAAAAGATGTTAGTAAGGAAACTCCAACCCAAGGAACACCAAGGGTGTCAAAATCAGAGGAAGAGGTTGAAGTTCCACCCTCATTGGAAAAGAAACAATCTGGCTACCGTGGTTTTATGGCAAGAGATGGTCCTAGGACATTTGGTTCAAAGGAAATCCCTCTGGTAGGTTTCAAAGACCAAGATCTGATTGTTAATTCTCCCCTCTAGCTGCTGCACATTTTTCTGTAAATTAATAATGAGAGTTTGTTGTTAGATCATTATAACAACTACATGTACCTGATAAGTTTTAGTATCCTCATTATGTGTTTGCTGGATAATCTATGGATATTCTTGGGAGAAGTTACATGTTAATTTCTTCTGGTAGTTAAATTATTATTATCTCTCAAAGCTCTTTCTGGTTTGTTTTCCATCCTTTCAAATTTTAATGAGAGATGCAAGACAAAGGAAAATGAAGATTATTAGAATTAAGGCTTATTTGGAAAATCTGCAGATACAGTTTAGGCAAAAAAATTGTGAAATGCATGCTTTGATTAACCCTTTTACTTCTGAGATCTCAATAGTAATTCTCCTTACTGTCTGTCATACAATTCTTGTAATGTTAGTTTGGAGAATTTGGTCTTGGATCAACTAATAATGCCCTGGTTGATATTTGTATTTATTCTCATCACTTGTCTGCATGATATTGTATTGATATTGTAAGGAGAAGTTCTGTCTTGGTCACTCATGGGAGTTAAAGGGTTAAACAAAAAAATGTATTTTATCCTTTTACTCAGTTGTTGTTCAAATGTTGGTTCAATGTCAGTATCTGAGAAACTGCCCACCTACCCCTCCCCTAATCCAACATTAACCCTTACTTGTAAGCAGTTGATGGTTGTTGGGTTAGGGGGAGGGGTAAGTGCACAGATACTGATGTTGATCCCAAATGTTTATGGTGTATCTGCAGAGTTTTTTTTCATTTTTCACCATTTATAACTTTTCAGTTTGGACAGTATTAAGAGGCCTTCAAGGGAAGAATTAATTATTTGTCTGCATATCTTAAATTATGCATGCACTTGATAATATAATTTTTAGGAAGTGGAAAACTGTTTGAACGGACTGACATTTGTTATTACAGGAATCTTGGAAAGTATTGAGAGAGAGGAGGCAGCAGATCTGATTCAAAGATATGGTGGAAAAGTTACCCAATCAATGGGCAAGAAAAAGAGTCAAGTTGTTGTGGGACAGGATCCTGGGAAGATTAAACTTTCCAAGGTACATTGTAATGCACAGTTCAAAAGAGGGAAAAAAAAGAACTGTGAACATAAACATATACACTGCACCTTTTCCCTAAATTTTTATAACAAATCCGGGTGCAGCTTACTGCAAATACACCTGGGAAACTTGCCGCAAATTTGCATAAATTAACATGATTCATTGAACAGCAAACTAACAAGAACTGAAAAATTTTCTTTTTGTTGTTGGCTTCTAAAAGAGTTTTTTTTCCCATGAGCATAAACTTAGACTGTGGAGTTCATTAAATGTTTCTTTGTTAAAAGACCTTTTTAACTGGTTTAAGGTTGTATTTCCTTCCTTGAATAGCTAAACATTACTTGGCAAGAAACCTGTGATTTCTTTGTTGTTGTTGTTTTTGTTGTTGTTTTTTTTTGTGCAACTGATCACATAATTTGTTAATCCTCATTTCCCTTCTTCCATCTACTTAATTTACGGTGTCACTCAGTTTGTCTGTCTGTCTGTCTGCTCTTTTGTGTACACTTAGTGAATATAATTTTCCTTGTGTGCATACAAGTACTGTACATGACTTTGCATTAAAGTTACTGATGACATAAATACATGTGCATGTGTGTGATATACATGTACCAGTAAAATGTCATAGGAGCCATAGGCTAGTGTGCAACTGATAACATAATTTGTTCATCCTTATTTCCCTTCTTCCATCTACTTAATTTATGGTGTCACTCAGTTTGTCTGTCTGTCTATCTGTCTGTCTGTCTATCTGTCTGTCTGTCTGTCTGCTCTTTTGTGTATGTTCATTCTTCCAATTACTGTCTTTCTATCTGTCACTTATTCTCCTTGTTCTCCTCTGTCCAGTCACCCACATGTCAGTTTTACCACCACTCTAAATTCCACCTTTAGGTTCATCTGTTGGATCATTTTACTGTACTTCCTCATGTAGAATTGTTTATGTTACTTAAATTGAGTTACAAGAGAGTACAGTTTTTTTGTTTTTTATTGCTTTATTTTTTTAATCTACATAAGATTTAGACAGTAAAGGTAATTTTTTTTTGTGCAGGAGAACCAAGTCTGTCATGGGTAGAAAAATATCAACCTCGTGCAGTGAAGCAGATTATTGGTCAGCAAGGTGATAAGAGCAACATGAGAAAGCTGATGAACTGGGTTGAGAGACTGGGAAAAGAATAGAAAGAAACCAGCCTCTAAATGTGAGTACACATTGATTGTCAAGATGCTTTTCCCTCAAATACATGTACATGTAACTTCTCTTCAGGCAAGTATGCAAACGGTTCAGGCAAACTGTCAGAGAGAGCAGATGAAAAAGTTTGGCTTGTAACCAGATAGGGGGACCTTTCTGGGGGGGTAGCAATTCTCCTAGTCACCTGATGCTACTGAAATTAAGTAAGCTTAGGCAAGGTTAGACCTGTGGCTCTTGTGCTGACTTTACCTCTAACCCTTTATCTCACATGAGTGACCAAGACAGGATTTCTCCTTACAATATCAATACAATATCAATCAGACAAGTAATGAGAATGTAGAAAAATATCAATTAGGGGATTTTTAGTTGATACAATACCAAATTATCCAAGAATTTTATGGCAGACTTAAGAAGTACTAGTGAGCTGTTTGGAGTAAAAAGGTTCAGTAGATGAACCTAACCTTAATCTACAGATATTTTACATAAGACCTTAAATTGAGTTGTGATGCAAATGTCGTCTAGCTGTAGGCTGAATACCTTTCACACTGAATCCAGATAATTTCTTAATTCCCACATTCAGAGATGCAATTTTTTAAACAGCTGTAACTTATGAACTTTTATGAATTTATTTTACTCGACAGTCACTTATACATGTAGTTAGTATGTTAGTAGTGGAATCACAGTTTTAAACCTTTTTATTTTGCACAGCTTTCTTTTACAACAAAGACCAAGATGGGTCGTCCTTTATGGCAGCTCTTCTGTCCGGTTCCCCAGGAGTTAGAAAAACAACAACAGCTACATGCACCCTGGTTTGTAAAGAGCTTGGTTTTACGTACATTGAAATGAATGCCAGTGACACACGAAGCAAAAAGACCTTGGAAAAACACATTTCTCAGTCACTGAACAATAAAACCATGGATGGCTTTCTGACAGGTTGTCAAATTTCTGTTATATTTGGAATGACTTTGATATTATTAAAGATACTTCATGAATTCTCCAGTCTTACTAAACTGATTTTCCTCTGTAGTTAATTTATTAGATTTCGGATGTCAT